ACACACACACACACACACACACACACACACACACACACACACACACACCAGAACAGACAAGTGGAGGCTGCACTGGGATGTGGGAACTTTAAGACACTTCCCTGTCTTGGACATGATTGGATAATAAGCTCAATGCAAATCTGAACTGTGCCGTTACTACACTGTGGGGAGACTCAGGACAGGGAGGCCCCAGCAACCATTCTCCTGATGGCTTTGGGATGTGGTTTAGAAAGTGGGATAGATCCATACCTTTGTTGCTTCTCCTGCTTTGTGTCCCCTCCTTGGCAGTACTAAAAGATGCAGAGGGGGCAGGAAGGACGAGAAGTATGAACTGTGAACTCCCCTCACTGCCGAGGACCAGAGAGGTCAGGCAATTTGTCCCGAGACACACAGACAGGACACCAGCATGGGCTTGCTGGCTTCTGTTGGCACTCCAGGTACCTCTGCTCAGAAATGCTAATGCTGGGCACTCATTTGATTGACACAACTGGAGACCTTGGTCCGTTGGCAGGGCATCTCCTTCTGGCTCTGACCTACTCATGGGGCCTGTGAGGAGTCAGGAACACGATGAGACCAGGGTGGGAGCAAAATGCTGCCACGGGATGCAGGAAAAAGGCCCCCGGAGAGCGACAGGCGGCCTGGCAGCTTGACTGCCTATCTGGGCCCAGAAAAGATGTGGGGGTGGTGTTCTTGCTCGACAAAGCGTGACATTAAGAACAGAAGTTATCTGGGACACGTGGCTGCAGACTCAGATGAGGACAGGTTTCCAGAAGGCTTGCCACCAGCTTGGCTGTCTTAAAGTGCAGTAAGGGGAGAGAGAACTGGCTTTGGCTGCGTAGCATTGGGCAAGTCGCCTAACACCTCTGAACTTCAGGACCTTCATCTGCCAATGTGGGCACCTCTTGCCAGGTATCAACATGGAGAGACTTGAGGAGAAAAGGCATGGAGAGAGTACAGAGCTCAGTCTTAAGAACAGCAGAGCCGGCCTGGAAGACACAGACTGGTGAGTGTCTTACTTGGCCCTCTGCTTGCATCCATCCCAGGTGCAGGGAAGCCCAGCCGCAGCTGTCACTCATGGCCATGTGATTACGCACAGGCTGGCCAAATGCACAGTGCACAGCGTGGGGAAAATGTATTGAGATGACCCTGGAGACATGAGAAAGGGAACCCAGACAGATTCAACAAGGGACCGTATCCATTTCTGAAGTGACATGAAATCACTGCCTTCACAGTAATGCTAATGTGGCCAAGAGGATTGATAGAAAGTCAGGTGTGTGGGGGTTATTAGAAAGTGGGTGCAGCTCTTGTTGGACAAACAGGAGGACCAGAACCCAACGACATGCTTGGTGGGGTTGGTGGTCCACCTGTAATTCCGGCCTTGAACGGCTTAGATGGTAGATGTTGGGGGGTGTTCATAGCAAGCTGGGAGGTGAAGGTGAGGACCAGTCCTTGCCTGGGTAAGATGTGTCAGGTATGTGGGGTAGGCAGGGAAGGTTCCCGTAAGAACAGGGAGACGCCATTGCAAAGATCAGGATCCTTGCGTCTTGACATCATGTGTTGTTGGGGAGACTGCCTCCGCAGGCAGCTGACACTGCAGATATGTGTGACATGTTTGTTGACACATTCTCTCAGCACCAGCTGCCAAGGCATCTGGGATCTGCACAAGTTTTGAAACAAAGCAGCTTTGAACGTAAACACATCCTCTGAGCCTCTGGCTTCATTGGCCACCTTCGCAGGGTTCCCCCTCGCACCTGCTCAATGAACTGGAGGCGAGACTGTCCTCCAGTCCCACCCAGGCAGGACACGCCAACTGATCATGGCTCTTTCAGGAGATCTTCAATTCTGAGGTTATAAAGGACTTTTTGGAACAGGGTCTTTTGTAGCCCAGGCTAGCCTTGAATTTGTTCTATAGCCAAGGATGGACTGGAACATCTGATATTATTGCATGTACCTCCTGAGGACTGGAACTAGAGTCATGCACAGCTACACCCAATTTGTACAATGCCTGGGATCAAACCCAGGACTTCCTGCAGGCTAGGCAAGAGCTACATTCCCGGATCAAACCCAGGGCTTCCTGCAGGCTCGGCAAGAGCCACATTCCCAGCACAGTTAGGAGTGGAGTTCACTTCTTGACTAGCACTGGGCTTTTTTCGTCCCTTGCTTTCCTTTAGGGATCAAGTTTCCTGACATGGGTGGACAAGGAGATCCTCCTCCGAGTCACACAGAAATGCTCTCACACACTACGTTTTGGACAAGCTATGAAGTGATGGAGACCCCCCCCCCCATCCCAATGCTGGTAGGAAGGGAAATCAGGTCAGTAAGTCTGCAAATTGCCTTTTGTTTCCACCACCATGCCCTCCCCACCATGATGGTGCACCCTCAAATTATGATGGTGTACCCCCAAATTATGAGCCGAAGTAAGCACTTCCCTCCTTAAGCTGCTTATGTTATAGCATATGAGAAAGCAAATAAGGCAGATATATAATCTTCCTGCTCTTTTGTTTCTTCATCTATTAAACATTCCCAAAACATAGAATTTTATTATTATAAAGCATAGACCACATAGGTGGTTATGGAGGTATGTGTGGTATGCTCAACATACAATATACACATACATTAAGGTTTTATAGAAATATATTTAAGAGCCGGGTGGTGGATGGTGCATGCCTTTAATCCTAGCACTCAGGAGGCAGGGGCAAGTGAATTTCTGTGAGTCTGAGGCCAGCCTAGTCTACAGAGCCAGTTCCAGGACAGGTTTCAAAGCTACACAGAGAAACCTTGTCTCAAAAAAAGAGAACAAAACCCCAAAAATCTTAAAGATCAGAACACAATACTTGGTACATATACATTGTTCATATATTAAGTATCATCATTGCCTTATGCCTACACAGCATGTGTCCTTTACTCTGTAGCCTAAATGTGGTTACAATTCTCAACCGAGGTATGGGGTCAAGTGACTGTCTCCATGAGAGTAGGGGCACTGAGTGTCTCTTGCTGTCCTAGTTACATTCTGTCACTGTGACTAGTACCATAACTAAAACAGCTTTGGGGAGGAAAGGCTTGTTTGTCTTACAGGTTACAGTCCATCTCTGTGGGAGCCACGACAGGAGCTCAAGACAGGAACCTGGCGGCAGGAACTGAAGCAGAGTCCATGGAGGAACTGCTACTTACTACTATGTTGCCCTTAGCTTACTTGATTATTTTTTAAATAAAATTTATTTTATTTTATGTGCATGCCTAAGTGTATACAAGTGCACCACATGTATACAGGAGTCTGTGGAGGTCAGAAGAGGTAATGGATCCCCTGGAACTGGAGTTACAGACAGATGTGAACATGTAGGTGCTAGGATCCCAATCCAGGTCCTCTGCAAGAGCAACAAGTGCTCTGAACTATTAAGCCATCTCTCTATTCCCTTAGCCTGCTTCCTTACACAACCAAGGAACACTGCCTAGGGGTAGCACTGCCCACGTGAGCTGGACCCTCCCACATCAATCACTAATCAAGAAAATGTCCTATAGATACACCCACAGAACAATGGAATGGAGGCATTTCCTCTACTACTGAGCTTCTGCTCTTCTCAGGTGACTCTAGTTCAAGTTGAGGAAACCCAGGCAGCACCTCAGTGAGGCATCTGAGTGCCTGGCACAGGATACAGGCTCAGCAAGCATCTGGAGAGCTGAGGATGAAACCACGTCTAAAGATGCTTAGTGAGGTTAAGCAAATTGTCTGCACATCAGGGAGACATACCGCGTTTTGAGGCTGTTGGATGAGTTTCGCCAGAGCTGGATGGTTGTAACCTGGGGAGAGGAGGGTACAGTAAGGTTAGAGAAGGCCATGGCATCTGAAGTTTCTTTCCGCCCCAGTTCTCTTTCAACTTCAACACAGAGAGCTCTGAGCGCTGACTAGAAGTCTCTGTCAGTGCAGCCTGGAGAGCTTCAAGTTCCCTGAAGACACTGGGGCGTTTGTTCAGGTTTGAGACCTGCTGGACCAGTGAAACATGAGGAGGTAAAGGCAAGGTCCATGCCAGTATCAACAGGTCAATGTGACAGACTGCGTGTGGTCCTGGCTCATTTCCCAGTGCCCATGGGCTGAGGTGGAGCCCAATAAGTGCTACTCTAAGGACCAAGGGACACCACCTGCAATGTCACATGACCACCATGTCACATGCCACATTCTGCCTTCATATACACTTGCACATTCCCAGGGTCCCACTGCATTTACTTTCCAGAGGGGCTGATGTTGCACAATTTGTAAAGCATTTTACAGCCATCAGTAGCATGTCAGGTATGTAAACTAGTATTTAGGCACACAATGAGCCTTGCAATGTCACCATGCATCTGGAGGGAAGGATGAGAGAGGTCCGTTTGCGCTGTTGGAATCAGCGGTGAGATCTGCTACCAAGCAAAAAGGGGGTGGATGGAAAGAAGGAATGCGCACGTATGCTCCGAACAGCTTGTTAGAGGGAACCAATAATAACGGCTCTATCAGATCATCTCAATAGAGGAAAAAAAAAGCATTCAGTAAAATGTAATGTTGGTTCATGATAAAAACACTCAACCAGCTAGGTATTGAAGTTGGAGGTGGGGGCCCAGGCCTGGAATCTAGTAGTTCAAGGTCATCCTTGACTACGTAGTAAGTTTGAGGTGAGCCTAGGATACATGGGATCTGTCTTCAAACAAACAATAAATAAGGAGGGCCTATGAGATGATTCAGCAGGTAAAGTGTATTCCCCAAAGCTGAGATGAGTTCAATCCTTAGCATCTGCATAAAGGTGGAAGGCACATACTCCCTACACATACTATAGTATGTGTCTATATGTGTGCAAGTACACACAATAACAACAACAACAATAATAATAGAAAACAAACAAAAATATCCCCAAAGCAAAATTCAAAACCAAAAGTGACCCAAAGCACCTCAACTTGATAAAGGACGTGTGTGCAAGGCCTCCCTTGGGCTGGGGGTATAGTTGAATTTGGCAGAGTGCTTGCCTAACAGGCAGGAAGCCCTGGGTTCAACCCCAGAACCATATAAACTAGGTTTGGTGGGATAAAACTGCAATTATAGCAGTCCAGAGGAGAGGCAGAAGGATTTGAAGTTCAAGGCCATCTTCAGCTACACAGAGAGCTTCAGCCTAGCTACGTGAGACCCAGTTCCAGAACAGAAAGGAAAGGGAGGGAGAGGAGGAGGAAGTGAGAAGATGAAAAGCTCAGTGCTAATGTTCTCCTCATCAGCAGTGAAAAGGACCCCATGTTTCTCTTCAAAGTCAAGAACGAGACAAAGATATTCCTTGTCACTCCTGCTGCTCACTGCAGCACTAGATTTCAGTCAGTGTGACCAGATAGGAAAAAGAAACACAGTCAGGTAGGCGGTGGTGGTGCACACCTTTAATCCCAGCACTCAGGAGGCAGAGGCAGGCAGATGTCTGAGTACAAGGCCAGCCTGGGCAGTTCCAGGGCAGCTGGAGATACACAGAGAAACCCTATCTGGAAAAACAAAAACAAAACAAAACAACAATGAAGATCGAACTGTGTTTCTATCCAGTTGCAACGAGTGGCCCAAAACTGAAGCTAAGAAGAGTGTACTGAATGACAGGCGTCGTTCCTCACGCTTCCTCCCTAATAGGTGGCTCCTGAAGACTGGAGGCCACTGTGCTCTTGAATCTGTGAAAGTAGGTAAAATATAGCTTGACCTGATTCAGTAGCCTTAGAAAATGTTCATAGAAACTTCAAGTTTTACCTAAAAATTTCCGAAACACACACATGTGCACACATATGCACATGTACACGCACATGCACACACACACACACCAGCTAGATGGATCAGCAGGTAAAGGTATTTGCCATAAGCCAGATGACTGGAGTTCTTTCCCTGGGACCCATATGTTGAAAAGAGAGAACTGACTTCCATAGCTGCCCTCTGATGTCCACATGCACACTGTGTGTGTGTGTGTATGTGTGTGTGTGCATGTGTGTGTGTGCATGTGTATGTACATGGGAACACACACATAACACATACACTAAACAAATAAGTAGATATGATGATGATAGTGATGGTGACGATGGTGATGAAGACGGTTTTTAAAAAAGCCAGGCAGCTGTGGTAGGCAGAGGTCGAGGAAGGAGGACTGTGATTTTGAGGTCAGCCTAGACTGCATAATGAGTTCTAGGCCATCTTGAGTTACACAGCAAGACTCTAACAAACAAAACAAACGAATGATACCGTAATTCATTCCAATTCCCATTTCCTGAGCATCAGTTGTGTGCCTGGCTCGGAGCTAATGCTTGGCCCTGATAATCCTCCCTCATTCTGCCAGAAGCCCTACGTGGTCAGACACGGCCAGGCCGCGGATGCAGATGAAAACAGGAGATGCAGCTGGGTGGCTGCGTGAGGTGGTGTGCACCATAACTCCAGCTCTTGGACAGCGGAGGCAGGAGAATAAGCAGTTTAAGGTCAGTTTGGACTAGATAGTGAGTTTGAGGCCAGCTGGGGCTACATAAGATCCTCCCTACTCTCCTCAAAAAAACAAAAATCAGTATGACTGTGAGAAATTAGGGAGCATCTGGTCTCCCCTATGCCAGGGTAGGCCTTGGACCCTGCAGTTCTGCTTAGAACCACCCTCCTTTCCATTAGACCATTTACATTTATTGAGCACCTACTGTATGCAGCGAGCATTCTATTCATCACAGCTAGTCCCACTGTCAAGGTTTATATTGACTGTCAACTTGGCAGTACTTAGAATCATCTGGGCACTTGCCTTTAGGTGCGCCTTGCAGAATTTACTTAATTAGGTAAACTGAGGTAGGAAGACTGACTCTGAAAATGGGTGATGCCATATTGAGGTTTAGGCCAGCCAGGGCTATATACAATGAGACCCTGTCTCCAAGAAAGAGGGTAGATAGATAGGTAGATAGATAGATAGATAGATAGATAGATAGATAGATAGATAGATGATGGATGGATGGATATATAGATAGATAGATGGTGGACAGACAGATAGACAGAGTGAGCTGAGCACCAGTATGCATCACTTTATGGTTCCTGACTATGGATGCAGTGTGACCAGAATTTCACAGTCCTACCACCATGTTTTCCCTGACCTGATGGACTGTACCTTTAAATGGAGACAGAATAAACCCTTTCGCTCTAAATTGCTTTGGTCAGGGTGTTTTAGGACAGCACCAGGAAAGTCATGAACGTACCTGGCAATAACCCTGGCAGAAAGGCACTGATGTCTGGAGACCAAGTGGGAGCTCCTCTGCCCGGTCCACTCCCACTGAGGCCTCACTAGGCTCGATGTGTTTTAATTGAATGAATTTATAGCTCAGTGATGTGGGCACGAACTCAGCATCTCATAACATATATGAGGAAAGTTGGGCAGTGGTGGCGCATGCTTTTAATCCCAGCTCTCGGGAAGCAGAGGCAGGTAGATCTCTGTGAGTTTGAGGCCAGCCTGGTCAACAAAAGCTAGTTCCAGAATGGGCTCCAAAGCTACAGAGAAACCCTGTCTTGAAAAACCAAAACCAAACAAACAAAAAACAAGATATATGAGGAAAGAGCCATAAGGGGAGCTTAGGGCAGAAGTGGGCTTTTACCACACTTAATTGCAATGTTTGTTCCTTACAACTAACTCATCTGTGGAGATGTTGGCCCCTGAGGCGGTAGTACTCAGAGCTTGTCTGCAGCCACTCCAGGTCTTTGGAAGGTGATTAGGTCATGTGTGTGGGGGGAAACTCTTGTAAAGGTTGTGCCTTTATAAAAATCAAGGGAGTCTTCAGCCTCCCATCTTGTGAGGACACCGTGAAAAGGCACCCCTTGTCCCAGAAAGACATTCCATCTTTCATGCCTGCATCTTGGACTCTCAGTCTTGAAAACTGGGAGAAACCAGTTTATAAGCTACTCCGTCTCCAGGATTTTGTCTTAGCACCTTCACTGGAGGAAGACATGGACATTTTAACTGAAATACATTTACTTTGAAAGGAGACTTCGTATCACTGAGGCTAGCGGCTGAAAGCAGTGGGAACGATCTTTATGTTGTCTGCCTGAGGCTCTGGACCAGGGCCTGCTCTTCCTAAAACACTGCGTAGACAAGTACTAAACACCCAGCACCACCCATGCGAGACTCTGGTTTCACTGTGCTGACTGGAGGGCAGGTTTGTAGGGGTGGGGTGGGGTAGGAGGGCACTGAAGCAGGAAAACCAGGGAGGGAATTAGCATATTTTGGTCTCTTCCCTAGCCCACGCAAGGCTTGCAGGGCTCAGGACTAGACACTGCTCATCACTCAAGGAGAGAACACTTTCTGGGTTTTTCCAACTGTTCTCTGGCCAGAGTTCTGGCTTATCATGCTGCCTGGGTGTTTATGACTTTTCTGCCTCAGTAGATAAGCCTGGTCCCGGGAAGCCTCATTAAATCACAGAGGCAGCTTGACTCATTGGCTCCCAAAGGAGATGAAAACAGAACTCCGATTAGGGAACCTTCAACTTGGCTTTGAATTGTCGGACCCCCATAGCAGGGCAGGTGTCTGCAAGGCTGTTCTAGGAACATAAGAGGTAGGCACACTGTCCGTGTCCTGGCAGGACCTCAGACTCCGTATACTGCCAAGCAGATTCTGTAACCTACTGGAGTCTAAAATGAGGTCAGTTGAGGGTACTATCAAAAGACCCTATAATAGGGCAGTCATGGCCATCTATTAATGTGTGAAGCACTTGGCTGGTAAACTCTCAGTGAGAATTAGCTTAAAAAGTATCTGGAAGCCAGGTTGGTAGTGCATGCCTATGCTAGCCCTTGGGGGTGAGCTCAAAAACCCGCCTGGGGGCCGTTGAGATGATTGAGCGGATAAAGGTGCTTGCTGCCAAGTCTGATGATCTGAGTTCAGTCCCTGGAACCTACGTGGTGGAATACGTGGTGGAAGGAAGCCCTGACTCCTGCAGATTGTCCTCTGACCTCCACACTTGCACCTCGGTATGCATATGTGCACTCACACATGCACACACAATAAATAAATAGAAAACTAAGCAACACTAGACAGCAACCAAGGGGTTTGTAGGCCTTCAAATCCTCAGTGCCTTCAGAGACTGAGGCAGCCCTGAAGGGTGAGTCACTGTTGCTGTCTGGTCACATCTCAACAGGAAATTAGGTCTGAGGACAAGTGCTGGGGAGGGAGAGGAAGAATGGGTACTCAAGGCTGGGAGTTAGGGAAGCTCTCAGGGCGCCAGGATATATAGGCATCAGGACCAACTCCCCCATGCCTGTCTCCTTTACAGCAGACAAGCAGTATCATCTTTGAAGGGACAGGCACAGCCTACAGGCCACTGAACACAGCTGGGCATCTATCAGCCACAGGGACAATAACCATCCAAGCTACAAATGATGCTACCTCATTTCCAAATTAACCCTGTCTGTCCCATTGTCTGTGTCAGCTCCGTTTGGCCGGGAGGTGAGCCCAGCTGAGGCAGGTGCTGCTAGCATCCACTGAGGTCACATTTCCCTGGCAGATCATCTCCATATTCCAGCTGCTGTCTGTGTTGACTGAAAATGGCTCCAGCTGCCTTCTCTGGAAACTGCTTTGTATCATGGAGGCCGCTTTGCTGGGCCTCCCCTGGCAGCGAATAGGCAATGAACGGCCAGCTCAGGAGTGCAAAAGGGCCAGCGATCTGCCTCAGTTGGCAGACAGAGTCTCCTGTGAGAGCAGGCCGTGGGTCTAGCAGAGGCCTCATTCTTTTGATCTGGTGCTTTTATTTCCCCGTCTTCCCTTTCAGTTGGGGCTTTCCCTCAGTTGATTACTTGAAGAATCCTCACTTCAGGCTCTTACAGGAAACCCAACCTAGTCAACTCCATCGAGCCATGATTGCTCTGCAGGTTTAACCCTTCTAGCTTTTCTCACGTAGTGGCAAAATAGCTGAAGAAAGGCACACACACTCATCTGGTGAGATGTGGAGAAGGAAAGGAAAAAAGGACCTACTGTGTGTTAGATCAGAGGCCGCACCTACTCAGTACTTTCCCCAAGCTGCAAAGCATCTCATAGACAAGGCAGGGTGGGGCAAGAGGGCCAGCTTCCTAAATCATTGCCTTATATGCTATCCAGTACCTTCACTAACCCGCTATGCTTGGAGACCATTCATTCCCTTCTTAAGCTCAGTGACTCCTACCCTCTAAAGTCTATAAATGGAAGGATATCTTTTGCTCTGAGTTGCTGTTGGATCTCCTATCCCAGCTTCCCTCACTTTGAGTGCCAGAATCATTAAAGGATTTGATCACCTGAAGTTGATTGCATCCCATCTGTCTACCAAACCTGTAAAGAATCTTTATTACTTGCAACAGTGTCTAATGGGCTGGAGCTGTGGCTCAGTGATTAAGAGCACTCTCTGCTTTCGCAGACCATCCAAGTTCAGTTTCCAACACCCATAGTAGGCAGTTCACACCCATAGTAGGCAGTTCACACACATAGTAGGCAGTTCACACACATATTAGACAGTTCACACACATAGTAGACAGTTCATACCCATATTAGACAGTTCATACCCATAGTAGACAGTTCACACCCATAGTAGACAGTTCACACCCATATTAGGCAGTTCACACCCACATCAGGCAGTTCACACCCATATCAGGCAGTTCACACTCATATTAGGCAGTTCACACCCATATTAGGCAGTTCACAACCATCTGTGACTCCAGCTTCAGGGATTCCATGAGTACCTGTACTCACATACAAATACACAATTAAAAATAAATCTTAAAAATAACATGAACAAACAATGCCTAGGGACTGGAAAGATAACTCAACAGTTAAGAGCACTTGCTACTCTTCTAGAGGCCATGGTTTTACTTCCAGCATTCACATGGAGGCTCACACTCATTTGTAATTTGCATTCAGGGGGTGCAGTGCTCCCTTCAGGTCTCTGTAGGTACTGCACACAGGTGGTGCACATACATACATATGAGCAAAACACCCCCATGTTTAAAATTAAAAGGAAAACCCATAGCAACAACAAAACAATGTCTAATCATGTTCTTTTCACCATTACTTGTTCATTCACTTACCCTTGGGAAAGAGGCTGGTAAAACACCAAGGACAAACATCTAAAGCTTGAGATCATAACAAAAAGAGAGTTGGAGGTGACTGCCCCACTCTTACCTATGGGGACAGAGGAAATCTGGGAATACAGGTCCAGCATGCGGTTGCCATCCACATCCACCAGGTAGTTGCCCCGGCTTTCTTCATAGTTGCAGAAAAAGTGCACAGCCTCTGCGTTCTTGGGAAAGAGGAAACTGGTTCAGGCTGGTTTCTACTCCCCAGATTCTTAGTCTTTTAGGAATAAGCTTGGACTGTGGAAACAGACTACATCCTGTTTTCTCTGCACCTCATGAGGATCTGTGGGTGCTGGTAAGCTTCTACGTCTTTCTCTGGGAAAGAAGACACAAGTGGCTTGCTTTAAATTGGTTTGTGAAGCCATGGTCTTGGGTTTTGTGAAATTTTGTGTCTGGTTTGTTTATCATAACAAAAAGAGTTGAGAAGTAACTCAGAAGCAAGTTCTGACAAGTTAAACAATGTGTGGATGTGTGGTAAGCCTCAGAAAAGCTGCTGAGAAAATGAACAGAAATTAAGAAATAAAATACAAGTTGGAGAGATGGCTCAGTGGTTAAGAGCTTGTATTGCTCATGCAGAGGACTCATGAGGTTCACATCTGCCTGCAACTCCAGCTCCAGGGGGCTCTGACTCCCTCTTCTGGCTTCCTTGGGCAACTACACATATGCACATATAAATAAAGTATGTACACATAAACAATATCAATTTAAATAAAGAAGCAGGAGAAGGAATCACCTTGTGCCCACTTACCTGGATTGTGTTCAGCTGTTTCATTAACTCCTGCAGACAAGAACAGAAGTATCAGCATGGACCGCACACTCCTGCCAAAGTGCCTTAAACATCTCCCTTGCTGTCCCAGTTCTGGAGGCTCTGTTTTTCACTCTGATGCCAAGAACTTGATAGACTATTAGTCAACATTATAAATGAATATTTTAAAAGTGACTTAATACAAATAATTGATAAAAACCTACTCTACAACACAGTAAGTGGCAATTACAACAGACAGATTAGAGATTTGTATTTAAATAACTGGGAAAGAAAAGGCAGTGAAAATTTATTTTCTTATTTATTTTTGAGGCAGGGTCTAATTGTGTAGCCTTGGCTGGTCTAAGAACACAGTAAGTACACTAGGTCAGCCTCTACTTCAGAGTTCTGGGATTAAGGGCTCTGGGCCACCACACTCAGTCTATACATATGTAACAAAAAAATTTATGCTGAAGGCATTTAATGTCCAAAAGTAAAGGACCTGCTCTTCTTTTTCTGTGGTGCTGGGGATAGAAGCCAGGGTCTTACCCATGTTGGGTGAGTGCTTAGCCATTGAGCTGCATCACTCACCCTTGTTTTATTTTACATTTTTATTTATCTTATTTATTTTGTTTGTGGGTGGGTATATATCCAACCACACTGCACATGTGAAAGTCAGAGGAAATTGCATGAATCAGCTCTTTCCTTTCACTATACGGTGAGTTACTGGGAACCAACCCCAGTGACAGGCTTAGTGGCTGGCGCCTGTATCAGCCAAATGTGCTAGCCCAGGTCCTCATTTTGAAAAAGCTCAGTCAGGCTGAAGAGATGGCTCAGGAGTTAAGAGCACTGAACCGGGTTCAGTCCCCAGCATCCGCATGGCAGCTCATAACTGTCTGTAACTCCAGTGCTAAGGGAACCAACCACTTCTTCCAGGCACATGGTACACAGACTTACATGCAGACAAAACACCCTTGCACAGAAAATGGTTAATTAAACTCTCAGTGGTAAAGCATTTGCCAAGTATGCACAAGGCCCTGTATTATAAGTTTGATCTCCAGCATTAGGGGAGGGAAGAAAGCAAAGATGTAACTCTCTTATCAGGAATGGAGGATAAAACCAACTGACGACATTAATTTGCTCAACAAAGAGCCACTTCTGATTACAATTCACTTTCCCTTATTTCAAACAGAAACTAGGAATTGAAAGCCAGTTGCCTTGATATTAGCAAGATTTCAGCCCCCCAAAAGTGACTTCAGCAGTTAGCATCTTGACATTACTCATATCCACACAAAAATATAAAATAATATTAACAACAAAATCATGAACAGTTATTCTAGGCATTTCTCTACTGAATTAGGATCCACCCCAACAGGAATATGCACGAAAAGCTCTCTCCTTCTATTTAATGAAAACCATCCAAAAGAAATAGAAACACATTAAGATAAATATTTCTGAACTCAGACAACAGATGCTATGGCAAAAGGAATGATCTTTTTACAGTAAATAAGACAGCATCCAACTGTGGAAAAAAAATGCTAAATCAGAGGGAAAACCCCCAAAGCCCTGAAAGGTTTGCTCTCTCTCTCTCTCTCTCTCTCTCTCTCTCTCTCTCTCTCTCTCTCTCTCTCTCGTACCATATCTCTTGCCTAGAAGACAGATTCTATTTGTCTTATGGAACGAACCTCCCAGGTATTTTAGGCTGACCTTGAATTCTGTACACAGCAGAGGATGGCCCTTGGTCCATCTGCCTTCATCTCCCAACTGCTGGGAGTACAGATGTGAGCCACCATCCCAGCTTGAACATCTTCAAGCTGGGCTTGAAGGTCCCATCTAATTATTATTATTTTTAGTTGGGCTAGACTACAAAGTGATGAATCTTACCATGGCACCCCTGTTTCTGTTGCTCCCATGCCCTCACTCCGCACCCCATGCCCTCTTCCTGTCTCTCTCTCTCTCCTTTCTCTCCTTCCCCAAGTTCTGCTTTGTTATCACTAGTACAGACTGCCTTCTTTATGTCAGAGTTACCTTTGTCCTTCAAGACCAAAGCCAGTTGTCTTTGATTCCCAGCCCCATGCCTCGACTTCCAGTGTTGCTTGTGAGTTCAGCCCCAGTCCTTAATTCTGTACTGACAGTGACCCAGTGAACTGGCTTTGGCCAAGAGAGTACGGTGTGAAAGCCAGTGTGGAGTTTCAGTCTCAGTGGATTTACAGTAAGATCAGAGTAAGCCCAGTGTGACAAGCCGGAGGAACGGCGACCCATGGAGCAGAGGCAAGTTCCTGCAGGCAGAAACCGCACCAGCTGACGGCCAGCCCCACCTTAGGCCTGCAGATGGCTCCAGCAAGGCCACCTACCTAGCTGCTGGTTAGCTCTAAATGCATGAGCAGTCTGAACGCCACATGTCCCCAGTCTATGACTGACTGTCAGGCAACACCCTGAGACAATGGGTCGTTTTTACACACATCTTTAGTAGAGGCTCTGAACGTATGCCAAGCTGTCCGCACACCTGCCTGCTGGGTCTTTGTCTTAGGTGTGGTTGACTCACCTGAGATCTAGGCCCCGGGACTTCTGTCTTCATCAGTGGCCCATCGTAATCAAATTCAATGTCAATTTTGGCAGCAGCTTGACTGATACATCTGGATCCTGCCATACAAAAGACAAATGAGAACCCCTGGTGACAAGACACAAGGAGGATCAGCCCCAACAGATGCCCTCAGTCCTTAACAGGAGGCCCCAGGATCTCAGCTTTGCTCTGACAAGGCCATCCAGGGAGACTGCATCTGAACAAACAAGACCTTGTGAGAACAATGAAGATTCTGAAACTGGGGAAAGCCATGCATGGCCAGTAAAGTTGTAGGAAATGCTCCCATCCAAGGGAACATGTTGAGCTGACCCAGCTTCCTGCTCCATGTGTGTTTGCTGACTTAACCTATGTGCACCATGAGCGTGCAGTGCCTGGCGGTCAGAAGGTGTTAGATTCCTTGGAACTGGGTGGTTGTGAGCTGCCATGTGGGTGCTGGGACCCAAACCCAGGCCCTCTGCAAGAGCAGCAAGTGTTCTTATCTGATGAGTCATCTCCCCAGCCCCTCCCCTACAATTTTTGAAGACACACAGCAAGTAAATGATGGACCCAGTGTACTGAGCTCTTAACAGGTGCATGGCCCTAGGCTCCATGCTCAGTGTGTGTGTGTGTGCGCACTAGTGTGCATCCTGAAGTGTAACACAGTGCGTGTGTGGAGGTCAGAGGACAACTTGGGGAGAGAGTTCTTTCCTTTCACTGTGATTGAACCTAGGTTGTACTCTTGAATAACAAATGCTTTCCCTGGCTGAGTTGTCCTGCCAGTTCAAGAATTTTCTAGGGGTTGGATAGATGGCTCGGTTGCTAAGAGCACTTACTGCTCTTGCAGAGCACTGACTTTGGTTCCTAGCACCCACATTAGGCAGACCCACAACAGCCTGTATTTCCAGCTCTGGAGAGCTGATGTCCTCTTATAGCCTTTGATGGTACCTTTACACACACACACACACACACACACACACACACACACACACACAGCCCCCTTTAAAAAGAAATTCAGAGGCTGGAGAGATGGCTCAGTGGTTAAGGCTACTGGCTGCTCTTCCAAAGGTCTTGAAGTTCAATTCCCGGCACTCACATGTTGGCTCAGAACCGTCTATGATAGGATCTGATGCCGTCTTCTGGTGTGCAGACAAACATGCAGACAAAGTACACAAATACATAAAATATATAAATAAATTAAAAAAGAGGCTCAGTTCAAATTAAATCCAGACATATATTTGCGAGCAGAGTCTCTCAACCTCTGCTCTGCTGACATGTTGACTGGTTGCCCTTCGCTGCTTGAACACTGCGGGATGCCCAGCGGCATCCTTGCCACCTGACTGTGAGACATAATGTACATCCATCCCAGTTAAGCTCGAGGCCTGTTTGGGAAACATCCTGAGGCCCTGTCTGTATCAGTCACGTTTTTCATTGCTGTGATGAAATTCCTGGAAATGGTAACTCAAGGAAGGGTGGGTTTCTTGTGGCTCACCGTGTGGGGCTACAGTCATCGTGGTGGGGCAGGCTCGGTGTCAGGACTGTGAGGTCACAAGGTCACAACGTCACAGTTAGTAAAGAGATGGAGATGGAGGTTGGTGCCGAGCTTGGTTTCTCTCTCTCTCTCTCTCTCTCTCTCTCTCTCTCTCTCTCTCCTCTCTCATTTTTTTGAGACTGCATTTCTCTCTGTGTAGCTCTGGCTGTCATGCTGCAGTCCAGGTTGGCCTCAAACTCAGAGATCTGCCTGCCTCTGCCTCCTGAGTGCTGGGACTGAAGGGGTGCACTGCCACTGCCAGGCTTTGATTTCCCCTTTTTATTCAATTTGGGAACCCAGTGCTTGGAATGGTCCTGCCCACAGTCAAAGCGGTTCTTTTGGAAGACCCACCTCAGCCTAATCTAGAACTCCCTCACAGACACGTTTAAGTTTTGTTTATGCCTGCGGTTCTCAACCTGTGGGTTATGACCCCTTTGGGGTCATATATCAGATATCCTGCATATCAGATATTTACATTTCAATTCATAACAGTAGCAAAGTTACAGTTATGACATAGCAATGAAATAATTTTATGGTTGGGTGTTTACCACAACACGAGGAACTGTATTAAGACAAAATGGCAGAGAATGGGAAAAGATCTTCACCAGCCCCACATTGGACAGAGGGCTGACCTCCAAAATATACAAAGAACTCAAGAAATTGGTCACCAAAAGAACACATAATCCAATAAAAAAATGGGAGTTCTAAACAGAGAACTCTCAACAGAGGAATCTAAAATAGCTGAAAGACACTTAAGGAAATGTTCAACATCCTTAGCCATTAGAGAAATGCAAATCAAACAGCTCTGAGATTCCATCTTATACCTCTAAGAATGGCCAAGATAAAAAACACTGATGACAACTTCAACACCACTTCTGGGTATATACCCAAAGGATGCTCAACCGTACCATAAGGACATGTGCTCAACTATGTTCATAGCAACATTGTTTGTCATAGCCAGAACCTGGAAACAACCTAAATGCCCCTCAACTGAAGAATGGATAAGGAAAATGTGGTACATTTACACAATGGAGTACTACACAGCTGAAAAAAATAATGACATCTTGAAATTTGCAGGCAAATGGATGAATTTAGAAAACATCATACAGAGTGAAGTAACCCAGACCCAGAAAGACAAATATCATACGTACTCACTCATAAATGGCTTTTAGACATAAAGAAAAGAAAAACAAGCCTAAATTTCACAATCCCAGAGAACCCAGACAACAATGAGGATCTAATCTGCATGAGAAGTAGAAAAAGACAAGACCTCCGGAGTAAATTGGGAGCATGGGGACCAAGGGAGAGGGTAGAAGGGGAGGGCAGAAAAAGGGAGGGGAGCAGAGAAAAATGTATAGCTTAATATAATCAATAAAAAATTAAAAAATAAATCCCATCAACATTCTACAGGAGGGTTAGGTTGTCAATAAATCTGTGTAAAACTATGATACTAGAAAACACATCTGAGTCCACTCTTGACTCTCTTAGTCGCTCTGGGTATCAGAAGCTTCTCAAGTGATGACCCGGTGTGAGGCAGGGGTGCAGTGCTGTATTTTGAAGCAGTTAGGATACACCACTTCTGCTTAAGTACGAAGAAAGCAGCTTTTCTTTCCTTTTGAGTCCAAAAAGGAAGTTCCTAGAGTTCATCCCACCGAAAGAGTTAAACATTATAGAACTCAGTGGCCTTTTAAGTTAGAGTCACTCATCAGTTCTTTATGTGAGTGTTTTGCATGTATGCATGCCTGCATCACATGTGTACTTGGTGCTTGAGCAGGTCAGAAGAGGGCGTCAGATCCACTGGAATTGGAGGTACAGATAGTTATGAACCACTTTGTGGATTTTGGAAACCAAGTCTGGTCCTCTGAACCACTGAGCCATCTCTCCAGCCCTCAAGTGATGACCTTGGAATGCTAAATTATTCAGTCTTTCCATGGCTGGACTCGGGGTTACAGCGTTGACTCCAACAGTGTAGAATACGAATGTAAATTCAGACGAAAAGAACTTTTCACCAAGTCAGCCTTGTTCAATTTCCAGCCTAGGGGGAGGCTTGAGAAGTTCTCTAGATTTCCCCAGTGAGAACACAAGAGTCTTTATTTTCTCCCAAAAAAGTAATTTTTAAAAAAGTCACATCTAGCATCTGGGCACAAGGTAAATATTATGCTTGCATTACTGAGGATAGAAGGTCAGAGAGGTTAGTTATTTGGCCCAGGCTTACACAGCTAACTGCTGATTAACCCGAGCACTTGCTTTTCGGACTCCTCCTCAGACCCTGTGGATACCCTGCCACCTCATCTGGTGGTTCAGCAAAAACAACACGTCTCCCAGATTCGAATTCTTACCAGAATCACAGAGAAGAAAAAGGGTTGTAGAAAGCTGAGTGTGTTGTGGCACACAAGACTGGGCACAGCAGACAGAGGCCCTCTGAGTCAGCCCTCTGATCACCTGCCTCTACTTCCCAGGGAGACTAAAGGCGTGCGCCACCACCATCCCACCCTTAATGTCCTCTGGGTCTTTGAAAATAACTTTAGTTTGTTCAGAATGTGTGTGCATGCACACACACGATGAGGCACGCATGCCTCAGGGAGTGTGTGGAAGTCAAAGGGCAACTTTTAGGAGTCCTCCCTTTCTTGTCTTCCCCCACAGGGGTTCTTGCTATTTCTGCTGCTGCGTTGCACACTGCAGGCTAGCTAGCCCTCACGTTTCTGGCCAGTTCTCTTACATCTGTCACAGGAGGGCTGGCATTGTAACTAAACACTCCTCTCCCCAAATCTGGCTTTCAACCTGGGTTTTGAACTCAGGCTGTCAGGCTTGAGTGGTGTCCTAGTTAGGGTTTCTATTGCTGTGTTAAACACCATGACCAAAAGTACGTTGGGAAGAGAAGGGTTTATTTGGGTTACACTCCCATATCACTGTTCATCACTGAAGGAAGTCAGGAGCTCACACAGGGCAGGAACCTGGAGGCAGGAGCTGATGCAGAGGCCATGGAGGGCTGCTTACTGACTTGCTCATCATGGCTTGCTCAGCCTGCTTTCTTATAGACCCCAGAACCACCATCCCAGGGATGACCTCACCCACGATGGGCTGGGCCCTCTTCCATCAATCACTAATTAAGAAAATGCCTTACAGTCAGATCTTACGGAGACATTTTCTCAGTTGAGGTTCCCTTCTCTCACATGACTCTTGTTTGTGTCAAGTTGACATTAAACTAGCCAGCACATGTAGCAAGTGCTTTTACCAGCTGAGCCAACTCTGATTTTAACAAATGAAAATTAAATGAAAATACCATTTCCAGAAAACAACTGTCCTATATGTGAACCTAAATAATGTCAAGGTAAAATCCAGTTAGAGCCCTGCCTTGCCTTTCCTCTCATTTATTCACTCATTTAGTGTGTGTGTGAGTGTGTGTTTGTGTGTGTGAGTGTGTGTCTGTGTGTGTCTCTCTGTGTGTGTCTGTGTCTGTGAGTGTGTGTCTGTATATGTGTGTCTCTGTGTGTCTGTGTGTGTGGTGTGTGTGTCTCTGTATGGGTGTGTGTGTGTGTCTCTGTGTGTGTGTCTCTGTGTGTTAGTGTGTCTGTGTGTGTGTATGTGTGCACGTACATGTGGATGAGATATGTGTATATGTGAGTGTGCTCACACTCACATGTGGATGGAATATGTATGTATGTGTGTGTGTAGGGAAAGTGTGTGTGGATGTGTAAGATACATGTGTTTGAAGTAGGGTGATAACTTCCATCTCTCCACCTCATATTTTGTGGCAGGGTCTCTCAGTGAACCTGGAACTCTTGGTCTGGCTAGACTAGCCAGCCAGAAACCCTAGGGACCCCCTTGCCTCCTTTTACAATGCTGGAATTACAGAAGTGTACCTTTGCTCCCAGCCTTTACACACCCAGATTTTATGTGGGTGCTGATCCTCACACTTGTGTGGCAAGCCCCCCCCCCTTTTTTTTTTATCAAGACCAGAGAGCTGGCTCACCTGTAGAAGCATGTGACACTCAAGCCTGACTCCCTGAGTTCAATTCCTGCAACCCAGCCATCGCCTCAGCCCTTTCCAGTTGGTTTTTGAGACAAGATCTCATGATGTTGGCCTGGAACTCTGTGTGTAGCATCCCAGACTGGCCTTAAACTCACGATCCTTTCGCCTCAGCCTCCTGGGTGCAGGTATTACAGAGCTAATAGGCTAAAGAGACCTTGTCTCAAAAATAAATAAGTACAATTAATGATGGGATGACAGATTCCTGGCTCGCTGCAGGTCAGCACTGCGAGACAGTCCCACACTGTGCTTGATTAGAGGGCGTGGGTCGGAGTTCACAGCGGGAGTTCAGTGCTCAAACACTCAAGCCAGACAGTTATCATCAGCTGGAGGTTCATCCGCTCAGTCACTTTTCCTTTTCACTCCCCCTTCCTTCTTTCCTTTTTAGCCAACTCTGTACTTGAACTCCTGACCCTCCCAACTTAACCTCTTGGATGCTAGAATTATTTGGCCATTGGTATCAATGAAGCCTGTGACTTCAGCTTTTTTTTTTTTTTTGACATGTTTTATGTACCCAGGCTAGCCAGCCTTGGACTTTCTATACAGCTGAGGATGACCTGGAATTCCTGATCCTCCTGACCTGAACTCCTGAGTTCTGGGATTAAAAGTGGTTACCACTCCACCCATTTGTGTATTTGTGTGTGAGTGAATGTTGTGTGTTGGGGCACTCGAAGCTGAGGCCAGGTAAGTGTCTTCTTCAATTGTTCTCCTACTGAGGCAGCCTAATGAACTCTAATCTTACTAGTCTAACTAGCTGTCCTGGGTCTCCTGATGCACGCTGGGCTGATGTGACCGGTCTAACTAGCCATTCCAGAGTCTTCTAATGATCCTGGGCTGATGTGACTGGTCTAACTAGCTGTCCCTGGGTCTCCTGATGCACCCTCGGCAGATGTGACTGGTCTAACTAGCCGTCCTGGTGTCTCCCAGTGATCCCTGGACTGATCTCACTAGTTGGACTAGCTGCCCTGCCCTGGGATTTCCCCTCTCCGACTCCTAAAGAATGGGTTTATAAGCAGGCTGCCACACCCACGAGCTTTTGTGTGAAGATCTGAATTCCAGTTCTCACTCACAGCAAATCCATTATCCAATGAGCGGTCTCCTCAGCCCCAAAGCCCCAGTGTATACAGCGCTGGGTGTAAACCCTGAGCCTAGTGTATGCTAGGAAAGCGCTGCCATTGAGCTCTGCCACTGAGCCACACACACCCGCAGCCTCATTTTTTTGTGGCTTTCTTTAATCCTTGGGACCAACCCCAGCTGAGTGTCTTCCTTTCCAGGTCTTCTGCCTTAGAGGCCACCATCCCTGAGCAGAATGGCTGTCAGTCCCATCAACTCCCTTCCTACGTGAGAACTCTCCATCTGTGGGCGGGGTGATGAAGTGGCAGCAATGGTGATAGTCTCACTGACGAACGCTAAGGAAAACAACAGAAGCAGCCAGATCCTTCTATCCTTGAGTGAGGACTCTGACCAGAGACCCCCTCATCTTCACTGTGTCGACCTTAGGGGCTTACCAGGTGTGAAGAGGCAGAAGTTTTTCTGGGAGCTGCAGGCCACCCGCCGGGCGAGTAACAAGGAAGCCATGATCCCCTCCTTCAGGAAGAGGATCCCTTCACTTGGGACTGTTCTGAAAGAGATCAAAACCATAGACTTAGGCCCGTGGGGACCACAGCACCACAACAGGCATCTAAACCTACCATTCCTACTTCATGGAGAAGGCTCTTGGGATACCAATTCCTTTGCTGTATGCCAAACTCTCTCTAATGAAGCCCATTTTGTGGTGAACAGACACTTACTTTACAAACTTTCCCTCGCATCTTCCACACTCCAGACAGGATGAGCATACTCTGTTTCTAGATGGAAAAGTAGAGGCCCAGAGAAATGGCCCGATTAGCCAAGAACTTGCTATGCAAGCACAAGGCCCCGGGCTTGATCCCTAGAGAAAGAGCTAGGCTTGGTGGCCCATGCTTGCAATCTCAGTGCCGGGGAAGTGGAAAGAGGTGGATTCCCTAGGGCGCGCTGGCCAGCCAGTCTAGCCAATCAGTGAGCTCCAGGAAAGAGACTTCGTCTCAAAACACAGCGTAGAAAGTGACTAAGGAAGACAGCCAAGGATGACCTCTGGTTCCCACCACCCCTGCCAGGTATATACCTGTGCACACATGCGCACACACGCGCGCGCGCACACACACACAAACACATGCGCGCGCGCGCACACACACACACACACACACACCACCACCACCACCACCTCCTCCTCAGAAAGACCTGGATTAAGAGCCCCCTCAAGTGATGACAAATGTGTGCACTGGGGGAGGAAATTCAGTCAGGAATCTTCAGAGCAGACATCTCTGATGACCCAGCGCAGGACACTCAGGACTTCCTAACCTGTTCCTACATGCAACATTGGTCCCTGGGCTATCCAGGGAGCCCGGGCATCCAGTGTGTGTGTGTGTGGGGGCAGCTGGTGCCCATTTCATAAGATATAGTTTATTTTTGAATGACAAATTGTCCAAATGCACTTGGAACCGAAAGACTCCTAGCACACGAAACTTTTTTGTTCTGAAACCAAGGCAGTCCTGGGTTATTGAGACTGTCACCCTATCTAGGGTCTCCTGCCTGAGGCTCATCTTGGCTACGGATAGATACAGCACAGACTCCTAACACTGCCGGGGCAAACCCAAGTCTCTTCCCTCTTAAATGAAGAAGGCCAGTGGTGCTGCCCTCCCGGATGCCCCCTGGTGCAGAAGGAAACATGAGGGACAAGAGGACAGCATCCCGACCCAAACAAGGCCTTTGTCAGCAAATGTAAAATTCCTCTGCATCATGACCACCTTTGTGTGACTTGCCCGTACTAGCTGGAGCAGCTTCTGTGGTGTGTGGACAGAATTCTTGATGGACACTGCACAGCAGTAGATTCTGTGCACTTTATCTTTTGTCCCTGGGAGGATCCACCCCAGAGCCAGCTGTGCTGTGTCCTGGAGACCGTAACTCTTCCGGGTGGAAAGGCTGTCATGTGAGTGGGTTGAAATGCTCCAAAGGGTCTACTGGCTCCAGATATCTGCCCAGTTGTCTAGCAAACAGGGTTCCCCCATTTCAGATCTGAGGAAGGGTACTCTCGGGGACTGCCTGATCCCCAAACATGGCTGCACTTGTAATAAACTAATTAATTTAGTTGACCTAGCCATAGTAATAGAGGGCTTGAAGAAAAAAAAAAGACATAGTCATGACTGCTCATCACTTTAACCCCAGCGCTGAGGAGGAGGAGTTGGGCAGACCTCTGTGAGTTGAAGCCTGCTCTCCACAGTGAGTTCCGGCCAGAAGCTGCACAGTGAGAGTCTGTCTCAAAAGCAAGCCATTCAGAGAAACCATTTTATTTCTTTTCATAAGAGAAAAATTAGGGAGAAAACAGCAGGCGTTAACACTGTGACCATAGATTAACTTAGAAACCATATTCTTCTCTTGACAATTTAATGAGTTTTTGAAAAGTTGATTCTAATATATCCAACTCAAGCAAGGCTGTTCACTCTGCAGCAGAGTAGCTATGCAGAAAAAGCGGTCGCTACCTCTCACTGAAGGCCATTTGTCTCAAACAGAGCTGGGTTCGGTTCCCAGCATCCACATGATGGTTCACAACCATTGTTAACTCCAGTTCCCAAAGATCCGTTGCCCTCTTCTGATCGCCTCAGACACAAAGCACATACGTGGCACACATACATAGATACAGGCAAAACACTCAGATATAAAATAAAACGAATAAATTTGATATTAGTAAATAAATAATATGCTTTTGAGAGTTCAAGACTCTTGAAGAACTTGAGCATGAGCATTTGAATAGACCATCAAGGTGAGAGTCATACCCATGCACTTGCGATGACAGGTCACTTTGGAAAACACATCCTAGTGACGTGTGACATTTCAGAGCCCTGCAGCTGAAACCAGCCTTATAACAAAGCACCACCTCTGTTAGACATTCTCAGAATTCCTGTTGCTCATTCACTTTCCTGCTCACTAATTCAATCAACAAAAGTTAATTAAGCAGCTGTTGCAGCAAGGCTCTGAATCGCTGAGGCAGAGGAGGAAGAAGTCAGGCAAAGCACGTTCATAGTTCTTTGGCAGAGGACTAGGATCAGGGAAGGGGTGGGAGAATTCACTGTCCTAGGCTGCTTTATTCATCCTGTCATTAACTTCTTAAAATAACCCGGGAAGATACGCATATAAAAAAATTTCTAGTTCACTGTCAACAACGAACTTCACAAAGAACAAAATGAAAAGCCAGGCATGGTGGTGTGCCTGTAATCTCAGCACTTGGAACTGGGAGTTCAAGGCCAGTCCAGGCTACATAGCGAGGTCAAGATCAGCCAGGGATGTGTTGTAAGACCATGTTAGATTAAAGAACAAAACCGAGCAACCCAAAACTCTAGCACTGAGTCATGACTGAGTGACTGGTATGTGCAAGGTGCAATGGGACGATGGGGAGCATTCTTGTGGACCAAGTGAGCACACACGTGTGTGAGTGCGTGCATGTGTGTGTGTGTGTGTGTGTGTGTCCCAAGCTGCAAAGTTAAGTAGATTCCAAAAGCCAGAGAAGAAAGGCGAGCTGGGGTGAGCAGTGCTCAGTGGTGTCAAATGTGGGGGACAGTGAAGGGCGGATCCAGAAGATGGCGGAGCCTGACATGATTGGAAAGGGAGGGGTAGGATTTGCTGCAGCTGACCTCACACACAATGTCTATTCTGACTTCTGGGGAGAGACATCTCCAGGAGAAGAGGCTACCTAGCCGTACCATCAGGTTTCCTGAGAGGAGCAGAGGACATGCATTCAGACCATCTATTGGACACCAGGGTCACCCTGAGCACACAAAGTAGCCTTGTTGTGGGACATGACATGGGAGACAGGATAGGGAATAACTCCATAATCCTTAGTCTTGACGTTGGTGTTGATGTTTGGGTATTGGGATTCTGCCCGTGTGTGAAGGCAAACGTCTGTAATCCCAGCCAGAATGGGAGAGATCCTGTATGTGCTGCTTTAAACGAGAATGTCCCCCATAGGTTCATGTATTAGAACACTTGGTTCCCAGTTGGCAGCACTGTTTGGGGAGGTTTAGGAGGAGGTGTGGGCATCTTGGGAGCACTATGGCGCCAGAGGCAGGCTTTGAGAGCTTAAAACCCCATACCTGTTGTGGGATAGCTGATCACACTGTGAATTCTGGGATTGTGTTAATTAAATAAAATCAACCTTGGATCAAGAGGCGGAGCTAGCAACTAGCTGTCAGGAAGCAGTCATGGAGAGTAAGAGACAGTCAGGAGAATGAATGGAGAACACACAGGAAACACACAGGAAGTAGGGAGGAGGGACACTGAGCCTGGCAGCCTTTCGGTGTGGACTGGTGGAAGAGGAGCTCTTTTTCTGAGACACTAGCTAAGGAGGAAGGTCAGTTGGTTGCTTCTCAGCCTCTCTGAGCTAGCAGATTTTCACCCCAGGATCTGACTCCTAAGTCTTTCCTGGTAAAATTGTAAGACTGAGACTTAGATTAAAAACAACACACACCATCTCTAGTTGTTCTGCTTCACACTTGTGGTTCAGGAAATGAGCTCTCGGCTTGCTGCTCCAGCCATCACGCCTGCTGCTCCCGTGCCTCCCTACCTTATGGTGACAGACTCTCACCCCTCTGGAACCGTAGGCTCAAATAGACCCTTCCTTCTAGAAGGTGTCTTGGTCATGGTGTTTTATCATAGCAATAGAAAAGTAACTAAGACACCGTGGCAGGATTATGGAGTTTGGGGCCAGCAAGGGCTATTATATAGCAAGACCCCATCTCAATAAATAAATGAATAAAAGAATTATGGCTTCTTTGTAAAAAAAAAATTACGTGTGTGTGTGTGTGTGTGTGTGTGTGTGTGTGAGAGAGAGAGAGAGAGAGAGAGAGAGAGAGACATACATGAAGAGATGTAGAGTCAGAGGACAAATACTAAAAGTCAGTTCTCTCCTATTACCATATGGGTCTCAGCAACTGTGTTCAGATTCTCAGCTTTTGTTGCTAGTGCCTTTACTGGCTAAGCCATCTTATAGACCCAGAATTATAGGTTCCTAAACAGTGTGTAGTGGTACAGTCCTGTAATTCTAGCACTCAAGGAGACTAAGTCCAGCTTGGGTTACATAGGGAGACTCTAACTAAAAACAACAATAAAAGTCTGTGAGTTCTACAAGAACAGAGCTGGGTGTGGTGCACACCTTAATTTCAGCACTGGTGGCAGAGGCAGGCAGGTCTCTGAGTTTGAGGCTAGCCTGGTCTACAGAGTAAGCAGCCGGGGATATACAGAGAAACCCTGTCTCAAAAAACCAAAAAAAAAAAAAGTGAACAGAATTGCCATGTGACAGATTCCACTCAGATGCTAAATGTAACGAGGAAACTGTAAACGGGACTTAGACACATCATTCCGTACGATCACTGCACCGTTGTTCACAAGAGCAGGGAGCTGGCAGAATGCAGCTGTCCATCAGTGGATGAACAGATAAACACAGGAATGAACAAAGGACGGTCACGGGCTGGCACAGAAAAAGCTGCACGTTAGATGGCTCCCTTGATGTAAAAGTTCAAGAACAGGAAAATTCAGGGCTGTCGAGGTGAC